TCACTTGATGTACCACTATCATTTTTCGGTGGGGCTTGTGATTTTTTAAATTGCGGGTTCACCCCCCATGTGTGGGGAGTGTCAAACTAGATGTACACAAAAGTGTACATCTAGCATTACTCTAATATAAATTCTTAAAAAGTCTTTAAATTAAATTTTTGTCAGGGCCAACCCCCACACGTGACCTCACCGTAGAGGTCAATTTACGACCACCTCCACAAATGACAATAATTAGACTCCACAACTTAACATTTAAGATGTAACTAAAATACTAACAAAGAGTATTTTTCAGATTTTTAATTTTCACACATCTCATTTAAAATATTTCCAAAATCAGGAAAGATAAATTTTAGAGAACTTTTTTTTCCAGAAATACTCCAAATCAGCATCTTGCATTCATAAGTAAACAAAACAAAAAATTGTGAAAATTAAAGACATTCGAATTTCGCATTCGATCACAGTTGAAACCCTAATCAAACACAGATAGAGGAAAGATATAAAATATTCATCGGCAATTTTCATTGATTCGATTTTCAGACAGTTTTGAAAAGAGCCCAAAAAAGGTAAAATAAATACTTTTACACAGAAAACCAGTCCACAATTTTTCGGGGGAAAATAAGTACAAAAACCCTGTTCGTTAACGAACCAGAACAATGTGAGTACAATCTAATGATATTCATGCATGCTTCTTGATCGGCGTTAAAAAAAAAGGTTATCTTGGCGTATGTGAAAATCAACTGAATTCCTGCATGACGCATGCAACCCCACCCCAGAAATCAAGTCTTTAACCCAATTTATTCACGAAAATTCATTTTCTCAACTCATTAGTTTCTTTTATCATATCTTTCCCAGTTCTAAAGGAAATTCAACAACAAAAACCAGAAAATCTTTCGCTTGAATAAAGAGAGACATATCTTTTATTGGAGTTCTCGAAAAAGAAAGGGTTTATTACATGAAAGGGAGAGAGGGACATACCTGGAATGACTACGAGTCGCTTGTGGGAATGAGGAAGTAGAAAGGCTTGTTGTTTAGAGTGTAATTGTGAAAATAAGAAAACGTGATCTGTTTATACAAGTAAATATTTATATTGGTTTATGGGGAAGAATTGGAAATAATTCATACACAGGAAGTTTAACCTTTTAAATATACCGTTGTATCC